TGAGTTTCCACCGACTTCTCATCCACCATCTTGTAGTTCAAGTAGCGGCTGACAGCAAATTTCTTCGCACCTGCTTCTTCAGTATCATATTTCCTTTTCAGAGCCTCCCATACCTGTTTAGCAGTTCTGTAGCTACTGTAGTAGTCGTACAGATCATCAGCAAGGCTGTTCAGAATGTGATTTTTGCACAGATAATCATTCTCGTGCCATAAGGCGATTTCTTTTCGGAGCTGCAGATCATCTGCTGCAGCCTTAGCTTTTGCAGCATCTGAGTCAGACATTTTGGAAGCCCCGTCTGAATCTGCAAGTGAGTTACCGTTAGGTAGTTCAGATGATGCAGAAGGGACAACCGGGATATCCTCAGTCAGAACGTGGGCAACCTTTTTCAGAGTTAAGAAAAATTTCATCTTAGCTTGCCAACGTTTGAAATTGGAACCCTCAAACCTGAAAGGTTTGTCAGAGACCAAAGCGGCCGCAGTAGTAGCGATAATTTCCTCAGTTGCCATGTCAGTTATGAAACCGTCTTAAAATTGTTGTTTTCGGATTTGAAATATTGGCACAAGGAAATTATCGGGACGAGTCGCGTACTAGGTCGCTTTCTTTAAGACGTTTCTCCGTACTGCCAAAATATGCAAAGCAGTCGATTTACGACGACGCCTCCAGGATAAAACAGCCCGTTCAAAATTACGATTATCAGTTGCACACTGATAAATCGCTCTAGAAATACACCTTTCTAAATTATCTGGCGAAAATAGTCAGTCCAGTATCTGGCTGTAATAGCCAGTCGAAAAAACCAAGAAAAGAAAATTGTTTAGATGAAGAGAATTAAGGGAGAGAGAGGGAAATCAAAATTCGTGTGAATTTGTGAAATCCGGAGTGCTCACTACTGAATTTTTACCCTTTATTTATAGGTAGCTAGTGAGGCTGATATTTTCATTCCTCCAATGTGGGACTAAAATGAATATTGTCAAATTCACTTTCCAATTTCCATTAATATAATTCCAACATCCAATGTGGGACTAAATTGCATTTAACTAAATTTTTTATAAATATTAATGAAAAGATAATTGCATTTAACTAAATTTTTTCTTAATATATATGTGAAATTAGTTATTTTATAACATGTGTGGAATATTTAGAAAACTAGTCTATATTATCTTTTTTTGGGAAGAAAACTAATAAAAGGGCACCTATATTCACTAGTAACTTAATGAGAAATAACTCTTTTAATGCTCTACCTATAGTTGCAGGCAAAAGCACAAGCATATATATATATATATATATATATATATATATATATATATATATATATATATATATATATATATATATATATATATATATATATATATATATATATATATATATATATATATATATATATATATATATATATATATATATATATATATATATATATATATATATATATATATATATATATATATATATATATATATATATATATATTATATCATGATATATATTCTATCAAAACAGTTAGATACACCGTTCAGTTTGAAGTGGACTTTATTTACACATTGGCACGTCAAAACGTGGGAACCTCTTTCAATTTCCTAATGTCAACCCCAACGTGATGGCTACCACACACTTACATACTCTTTATTTCTTTCTTATGACCTTATATATACATTGCAATGTGCGATGCATAAGGCAGATCATAGTGTTTATATATACTAGTCACATTTTCTGAGTTTCATTCAAGCTGCAAATTTATTAACCTTATCATGAAGAGCTTAAATATATCTTTGTGTATGGTTATGACAGTTGTACTTGTTGGCTTAGGTGGAAGTGTAGCTTCTGGCTTCAACTATGGTGATGCTCTTGACAAGAGTTTGATGTTCTTTGAAGCGCAAAGGTCGGGTAAATTACCAATGCAAGAGCAGCGGATCAAATGGCGCGCTGATTCTGGTCTCAAGGATGGAATTCAGCAAGGAGTAAGTAGCCTTAAATGTTTTCATAAGCTATAACTAAATTGAGAAATGAGAACTTGTAGAAATAAGGTGAAATATAATTAAATTGGATTCTTGTGTTTGTTACTACAGGTGGAGTTGGTGGGAGGGTACTATGATGCAGGTGATCATGTTAAGTTTGGGTTGCCAATGGCTTACAGTGTGACAATGCTTGCATGGGGAGCTATTGAGTTTGGCAAGGAAATGACAGACTTAAACCAAATCGGACATACTCTACGGGCCATTAAATGGGGAACTGATTATTTCGTCAAAGCGCATACTCAACCTAATGTTCTTTGGGGACAGGTAAAACCAGTGCAACTAATCTGGTTGAATGTTAAGTGTGCTTATGGCGTAATAAACGGTTGTTTTTTCTGTGAAACTTCAGGTGGGTGATGGAGTTTCTGATCATTACTGCTGGGAACGTGCTGAAGACATGACGACTTCGAGAACTGCTTACAAAATTGATGAACAGCATCCTGGTTCTGATCTTGCAGGTGAAACTGCGGCTGCGTTGGCGGCTGCAGCCATAGCTTTCAGGACATACAACTCTTCTTACTCTAATCACTTGTTAGTCCATGCAAAACAGGTCAGTGAGTACTAACAATACACTCTCCGATTCGTGGAGATTTTCTCAAAATTTACACTCGTTGTGGAGTTATTAATATTCTTCTATCTGTTGCAGCTCTTCACGTTCGCAGATCGATACAGAGGGCTATATGATGAGTCCATATCCTCTGCTCACCAATTCTATGCTTCTTCTGGCTATTCAGTGAGTAAACATTTCTCTATTATTTCTTCCCTCCTTTTAGTATCCGTCGAAGTGTGACTAAAATCACTTCTTTGGCGAAAAAGGATGAATTGTTATGGGCTGCTGCATGGCTGCACCGAGCAACCGGCGATGAATACTACCTAAAGTATGTCGTGGACAATGCGGTGTACATGGGTGGAACTGGATGGGCGGTGAAAGAATTCTCTTGGGACAACAAATATGCCGGTGTCCAGATCCTCCTATCAAAGGTAAGAATCAACTGTGACTTGGTTCAAGGAACCATGCAATAAAAATTAAATGGTAAAATCCAATTTGCAGGTATTACTAGAAGGAAAAGCTGGTCCATATGCATCTACACTAAAGCAATATCAGGCCAAAGCAGATTATTTTTCCTGCGCCTGTTTGCAAAAAAATGATGGTTACAATGTCCAGAAAACTCCAGGTTAGTTGATTCAACAATCACTTGAAAGAAACAGTCAGAGAAAAGTATCATCATGTCATTTTATTTCTGCTTGTGTTTTCTCTTTACTAGGTGGCTTATTGTACTTGCATGATTGGAACAACATGCAGTATGCTTCCTCTGCCGCGTTTCTTTTAGCTGTTTACTCTAATTATCTGTCAGCTGCAAAAGCACAGCTCAACTGTCCTGAGGGTCAAATTCCACCTCGGGAACTCCTCAATTTTGTCAAGTCGCAGGTATCTATTGGAATCTGTTACTCCATCTGTTCCAAATTATAAGCATCATTTGGTAAAAAGCGAGAATAGAGAGACCTAGCTTAACAATTTAATAGCATACCTTGAGATGAATAACCGAATTGTGAATTTTGGTTAACACAGGCTGATTATATCCTTGGTAAAAACCCGGAAGATATGAGCTACTTGGTTGGATATGGACCAAAATATCCTACTCATGTTCACCACAGAGGCGCTTCCATTGCTTCCGTCTTTTCTCTTCACTCTGAGGTTGGTTGCGCACAAGGATTCGACGCATGGTATAAACGTATTCAGCCAGATCCTAATGTCATCTATGGAGGCCTTGTAGGGGGTCCAGATAGAAATGATGACTACTCTGATGACAGATCCAATTATGAACAAACTGAGCCTACAATTTCAGGTTCTGCTCCTCTTGTAGGGATTTTTGCTAAACTGCAAAGTTCATTTGGTAATATTGGTGAGTAATGAATATGAATATCAACATTATGCACTAATCTGATATTTTTGTCGGCTTTTTTTCTATATGAAGCCTCACTCACTCTTCTCTTGCTTGCATGACACAGGTTCCTACCATAATGAATCACCACTGCTCCAGAAAAAATATCCAAGTAGTAAGAATTAAGGAAAAAGCATACTGTGATTTGATTTCGAAGTTTTTAATTATACAACATTTGCTCTACTAATCTGATATACTTTGTTTGACAGGTACAACATACCTTTCCAAAGAACAAAAACCTAAAATACCACAAGGTGAGAGATCCAATAGAGTAAATAGTCGTTATGGTCCTAGATATGTGAAGCAGAGACTTTATATTGTTTAAAAACCAAAATAACTATTACTCAATCCAAAAAAATATATAATATAAGGACTTCAATTTCATTGCGTTTGAATTTTCTTCATGCAAACAATGGCTTAGACTGACAAGGTAATGTTGCAGGTGCACCAGTTGAATTCCTGCACTCAATTTCCAGCTCGTGGACTGTTGGTACTACAACTTATTACAGACACAAAGTCATAATCAAGAACACTTCTGTAAAGCCAGTCTCCGACCTTAAGTTGGTGATTGAGAATCTCTCAGGTTCTGTTTGGGGTCTGTCTCCAACTGGAGAGAAGAACACCTATGAACTTCCCCAGTGGATCAAGGTCTTGAATCCTGGCTCTGAATGTATATTTGTTTATGTTCAAGGTGGACCCCAGGCAAAAATCTTGATACAAAGCTTTCACTAATAATTTTGGTATTTGACAGAAGTAAAAAGCGCTTTTTTTTGCACATGAGTAATATGACAGTTAAACTTCTGTCACTCAATGATTGTAAATTTGTAATACCAACTTGTCAATCAAAGCATATTCCTTATGAAAGCGTAGATCAAACATTTTTATTACATTCATAATTATATAACCCGCTCTTCTGAGCACATTACAGATACATCAAATGTTTCTAGTCTAAAAGATAAAATCTGGAAAAACAGCCTACAAAAAACGAAAAACAAAATACTCTAGGTGGACACTACATTGTCTTAGTTTGGATGAGAATCGGTACTTAATGTTGTTCCTTTGGAATGTTGAGATCGTTAAATATGGGACTGTCAACTCCAACACCCATTGCATTCAGACCATTGTCAACATATAGAACAGTACCTGTGATAGCTGATGCTAAAGGTGATGATAAGAAAGCAGCTGCATTGCCTACCTCCTCTGTTACACGTTAAAAATTTGACTCGATTATGCATATAAATATCAAGGATGAATAAGATATTTTACAAGGAACAACCCGGATGGAAATATGATTACCTGCTGATAGCTCTTTCTGTAGAGGTGCATTAGCTATTGAATAATCAATCATCATATCAATGAATCCAATTGCTTTTGCAGCGCGACTTCTTAGTGGACCTGGAGGCAAGAGACAACATGTTAACCACAGGAACTAAATTTACCAATATGTGAACAAAAACAATTAATTCCAACCAAAATGAGACATGAAGGTGTGAGGAGCATTAAAAAGAGAAGCCACAAAGTACCAGCGGATATAGTGTTGACTCTAATTTTGCGCTTTCTACCGGCTTCAAAAGCAAGCACCTGAAAAGGCATGAATTATGCCATAATTTAAAGCACCTAAAAACGGAAAAAAAAGCCAACAACTAAAAATGAATGTGTTAAACTGTAAGTTTGGAAAAAGGTTGAAGCTTACTCGTGTATCACTTTCCAGTGCAGCTTTGGCAGAACTCATACCACCCCCATATCTGTATTATCATTTACTCCGTGAATACAGTGAATCTAAATTTTATGATATATACAACTAATAATGAATTTGTAAGGCATAATCAACATACCCGGGAATGATCCTCTCTGAAGCGATGTATGTGAGAGAGATTGAAGATCCACCTATAAACAAATTGGAGAGGTGAGTAAGATAAAACGATAAACCAAATAAGTTATTAATTAGAAATTGAACTGGGACTAAATCAACCCCAAAGGCTAGCTCAGGAGGAGGATTGCTCAACCCTTACAAAAAATACTTGGGTCATATCTCTAGACAACATAGAATCTCAACACACACCCTCACACTCACAATTGGACATGTAGAGCGTGAAGTTTGTGACTAGCCCAATATCAAATATAGAATAGGCTCAGATACCTTATTACAATTTCGACTAGCCCTAATTCAATCTCAAAAAGCTAACTCAAGCGGTGAAGATTATCGAAACCTCATAGAATGGAAGCCTTATTAGATTAGATAAGGTACATGCCTGGGTTTATGATTGGAAGAAAATGCTTGAGTAAAGAAACATAGGAGTAACTAGATGCAGATATTGCAGCAAGATATCCTTTCCGAGATGTCTCCAACAGTGGTTTGGTCACCTATAGCAAAGTTACCTGCTTAATAAAGCTGAAATCCAAAGTCATAAAGAAACCCCAACGCCTATTACTCTATTAACCATACCTCTGGTCCATTGGCAAGTGAGTGCACGAGGATGTCTATGCTGCCAAAGTCTTCCTTAACAGATTCAGCAACTTCCTGAAAAGTAAGTGATGAACGTAAGATATAACGAGCCTAGTTTTATGCAGTAAGTTAGGAGCCAAAAAAGCTCCAGACCCAGTTCATATTTATAAACAACTCTAGAGTTCCTGGATTCTTCAAGACCCATAAAGAAAATACCATGTGCTTAATTGCCAAAATGAAAACCACTTATTACTTAAGAGTAATGAATTATCTCTCTTACTTGAGAACGGAAAAATATCATAGATTTGGGCTTGTTCGAGCAGAAAGGTAGAGAAAAAGACGGTGGGAAACTCCAGCTCAGAGACACTAGGAGACACGGACAATGAAATCGTTTGATGTAAGATGAGTAGTTGAATGGGGTAGCGTAAAATACGTACTCAAGAGTCGAGACTTGACGCATTAACATTTCCAAGAAAGGAAAAGAAGAAAGAACAATTAAAAAGCATGTGGAGTGAATTAGAATACCAAGACAGTGACCAAAAGAGCATTTGTATCTTGTATAAATAAGTCTATATAATATACCTGAACTGTCCACTTGCTGGATCCAGCATAGCGCTTGTTTGATTTTATCTATACAATTGTCAAACAAACAAAAAATCAGTGCATGGATAAAAATCATGAGATACACGTAATTCATATATCTCCATTAAAAAGATGAAACTTGGTATCTCTTAATTACATCTTCTGGTGTATCCTCAAGATTGTCAAAAACAGCATCCAAGGGATAAACTTTGGTAATTTCCATCAACGAACCATCAGGCAATCTGGAAAACAGCATTTCTTATTAGCAAGGTTATCTATCACATGGTTTAACAAATAAAATCAATAGCAGTATTTAATGTCGTACACGCGTGATTCGTCAAATTTCCCACGTCGTAAGCTGGACTCAAAGATATTCAGAGCCTACAGAAATGGTTCACAGTTAATAAATATATCACTATAAAAGGACCGGAATACATACATAACATGGAGGATTCAGAAAGGCCGCAGACAGATAACCATGTGAATTGATATGGACTGGTAAGTATCCATTTTTTTATCTGAAATAAAACAGTAACTTACAGGAACCCATGTGCCGAGAAGAATTTCAGCTCCTGCAGCAGCAAGAGATTTAGCAATTGCCCATCCGTACCCATTGTCATCGGCCACACCAGCAATAAAAGCTCTTTTACCTAAAAAGAAAAGAGCTATTTTCAGTAAATTGACAGTTCTCAATAGTCAAAGACAAAACGAACAAACATATTTTGACAATATACCATGCTGCCTAAACAGTAATTAGACACCATTGAGACAAATATTTATGAAAATAAAAACATAATGAAAGTGGAAAATGAAAAAGTAACCTTTCAAATTAATTGGTAATCCTGAAATTGGGCTTGTTTCACTAGACTCAGACACCGCCTTCGTCGCAAATTTGACAGACTTTGCGGATGATGATGTAAAGCTCCGTTGGAAGGGATGCACCGACGCAACATGACACGCACTTGCAAGTTTATTCCACGATCCCGCCTTGGACTTGCCACCAAAAATCACAGTACTGACATCGGCAAACTTTTGTGAAGAAGGAATACATGATCTAGACATTGCAATTTGCAAGCTAGAAATTGATGTTGTTGCCATCTCGGATGTACGCGTACTATGACAGAATAAACCCTAAATCTACACAAGGAAACTATGTCAATAGTTATATCTCATGAAGCACTGCAGAAAATAGCTCATTGATTTCTCATTGTTTAAAACCAACACATACTAATGAACACACAAGCCATTAACAGAATCAGTCCCAAAACAAACAAATAAACAAACAGAAATCTAAACCTTTTACATACAGTCACAAAAACCAGCGAGAACCACAGTTAAAATCACTAAACATCAAATAATTTCCGAGATCCACAGTTTTGTTATACTAAAACTAAACCAAAACAACAATAAAGGTTGATAATGTATGCAGCAAAATGCATCTCAAATCCAGAAAAAAGAACAAAACTTTAGCTCATATTATCTCATTCAAAGACAAATAAAAAAGACCCAATTGAAAACAAGCAGTATATAATAGATTGATGCAAAAAGTGAAAGGTGGGGCGTTACCGATTGGGTAGTAAGAGCGGAAATGTGGAGAAAATGAGGAGATAGAATGAACGAAGATAGTGAAGTGTTATGTTATTGTTAAAGCCGCTGGGAGATGCATAAGAGAGAAGGAAACTTTGGAAGTGTCGAAGAAATGGTTGTTTAGTCTTAGAAAGCGAGGTTTTCCTTTGTGTATGTGTAATTCATGTCTCTCACGAGCGTAACCAAAGACAGATTACTAGGTTTTGTTTCACATAGACACCTTATCTATTTTACACATTTACTTACTTATAACCTAACTATATTATATAAACATATTTGGTTGGATAAAATTTTATCAATATTATCTTTTTCTGCATCACATTTCACATCTATTTGATTTTAAAATTTTTCTTCTTAGCTCCTTATTCTCATCATAATTCTATCATTTGTTAGAAAAATTAACTTAAATTGAATGGATCGAGCCTAAAATCGTAAATGAAATTACTTTTTTTAGAAGTATTTCAAACGCACTCAAAAGTCTTAGAGTTGGAACGCAAGAATATACAGAATAATTCAGTTTATACTCGAGTTTGTAAAAGACCGATGAAAACTCTAATGTTGGAAAGTGTTTGGAATTTGAGTGAAGAAGATGTGTATTTTTTGTTATATTTTTTTAAATCTGGAATTAAGTATTTATAGGTCATATTGGTATTGTTTCATAAGGTTCCGACTATTTATGAAACAACTTTCTTTTATCAAAAGTTACAAGCTTTTGCTCAAAGTTACTTTTACCAAAAGTTACATTGTTTCGCTTACAGCAACATTATTCAAGAGTTGCATACTTTCATTCTGCAACACTTCACGAAGTGTTATTTTTGAATTCAAACCTACTGCAACACTTCACAAGTGTTGCTTATTTCTAAATTCAAAATTAATCTTCACTCGCATATTTTCTTGTCATTTTGGAACACACTCAAGATTATTAACTTTTAATAATTTACAACAATTCCTCACTTGTTATAATAATGACCAGACCAATTCTAAAAAAGGAAAAGAAAACAATTTTTAAACTTAACCTTAATAAGTTTAACGCAAAGTATAATCACAATGTTAGGTAGCAATGCTTTGAACCGTTATCCCTTGTGATTATACTGGCATTACCTCACACACACTCTTTAATGGTTCTTCGCCCACATCTCTCGTCTAGCACTATTTATGACCGTGTATTTTTTCTATTTTCGTGAATTTTCCATGAGAGAAACTTTAGCTCTCACTTTGAGACAGCACCATCTCAAAATTCACATAGGTGAAGTTCATATTGTATCCTTTTTCATGAGACACGTACCCTCGGTATTGAACTTCATTAAGAATTCAAATAAAAACTCAACCCCCATTTTAAAGGTCAACATTATCACGAAATGTTCGACAAATATCCAAATCAATGACTTGTTGTTACTCGTTGAATCTTGAGGTTAATGTTCTGTTAACGTAAGATTGAGTTGTCGTCGTTGTCGGAACTCTTACTCAAGGAGTTTCAACCTCATGCCTCTCGAGGTTGTTTTTACTAAGTCTATGGTCAGTGGCTTAGTAAATGGATCAAGAAAATTATAGGTTGATCGTAGAAATGTGAATGATCACATCCTTAATCAATTTTCTCACAAAAGAATGTCTAGGTCCTACTTGTCTAGATTTTATGCTATACATTTTTTGTATGCTTTAGTTAAAGTGGTTTGACGACCGCACTGTATCAACATCTTTAAAACATTGTCTTTAGCCAATGTAACTTCTAACAAAAGGTCCCTCAACCATTTAGCTTCTTCACCGACGAAATCAAGAGCATCGAACTCTGATTCGTGGTTAAGAGAGTGATCCACATTTATTTCTTGCTCTTCCAAGAAATTGCACCTCCGGTGTCATACCATAAATGTTGCCCCACCTAAAACCCTTCATCTGCATCTTTTTCTTCTTTTCATTTGTTTTGCAATCACCTAACTCATTTGCATCTTATAGTTGGATCTAACCTCTTATGATTATTTCATCTGGTCATAAAGGTTTTGTTTTTCACGAGTCCAATTTAATCAAGGTTTGGTTGAGATATGCATTCAAATAGACTTCTTGGCAAACGAGTTACTTGAAATTCAAGGCATGATTATTTGGTTTCTATGTGATTTTAAGTCATATTTCAAAAAAAAATTATTCTAGATGATTTTAGGTCATGTCCCAAGTTACTTTCAAGAAGTGTTTCAAGTGGTTCAGGCATATCTTGCAAGACATGTTTAGAATGATTTTTCAAGTTTAGTCTTGATTTGCTTCAACTTTGTTTCCAACCATGTTTAGGATCGATTTCAAATGACGATTAATTGGTTTCGAGTTAAGCTTTAGTTTTAAGCCATGAGATTATGACTAGTTAAAGGTTCAACCTGTGATCATTCATGATGGATTTGTGCAAATCAAAGAATTGTTTATAAGCCATTTTTCTTCAAGCCATAAAAAGTTTTCAAGTCAAGTAAGGAACTAAGGATGCATTCAAGATCATTCAAAGTATTACAAGATTTGCAAATTACAAGTTCATTTCAATAAAGAACCAAAGTTCATAACAAAGTTTGTAATTAGAAAGGTTACAAAGGTCACAAAGTGAAAAGATTTGTTACAAGTGATCAATTTCAAACCTAATTCTACAAAGTCATAACAATGCCCAAAGACGAATTTCCTTTTTTTTCTTCGGGCCAAGAATGTGCCTTCATGCTAGCTACGGTTTTCTTCATCTTCATGGCCAAATTTCATGTCCAAACTTTTCTCTACATGCCATGGCATATGAACCTGCAAGCAAGCAATCACAAATCATTCATCACACATCAAATTCACTAATTCAAAACAATTCTTCATATTCAAGATTCAACAAGATTCAATCATATCAAATTCATTCAAGATTCATCATACCATCATATAACATGTAAACCACTTCAAAATCAAGACACATTCACAATTTCATTAAAACAAAATCAATTCCATATTCATATTCATTCTTCATTCCGTTTCAAATTCAATTCATCACAAGCCATCCATCATATCCAAAAGCCATCAATTCAAGACCATATTCCAATTAATCCATCAAAATATCATGTCAATTCACACCAAAAAATCATTTCCATATATTCACCATTCAAAATCATGTTTCATTTATCATATTCAAAATTCAAACAACAATTTCAAGTTAACAGCAAGAATCATGGGACCACCAAGAAATTCCAAATACAAAGTGACAAAAATTCGAAAATAGCAGACAAAAATGCAGGAAAAATTCAAACTAATAGGATACACAAGAATGGAAAAACACCCAACAACCAATTTGATTCCACTGATGCTTTCCTCTTCCATCAACACAACATAATTTTAAACCCTAAATTTTACATTATATAAGCAACAACAAGCAGTAAAAAACACACAGAAAGCCAAAGAGAGAAAAATTGGGCATCCATCAAGAGAAACTTAGCAGCCAAGTTCAAAGATAAAAATAGTTCCAATACCTTCATATCAAAAAACATCAAAAAAATCTCAACAGTTCACAATACACGCCAGGAGCAGAAAAACTTGCAAGAAACAAAAAGGAGTACCTGAAGTTTGCGACAAATCTATTATTGCGTAGGTATCACATCTTTATTTTTTTTCTTCTTCTTCACGTTCATACTATGAAACTATCATTGTTTCTAACTCATTGATTTTCAAAAACAAAACCATGTTGTCCTTTGGAAACCATCTTGATCGATTCCTCATACCATTGAGAGAGAGAGAGAGAGAGAGAGAGAGAGAGAGACAAATCAGAGATAGACAGACAGACAGATGTGATTCCTTATACCATTTTAGTTTCTTCACAAAAACTAACAGAGATCATGAGAGGGTGAGACGATAGAGAGAGTAACTGAACTGAGGTTGAAAATAGAGTACGAACCTGGCTCATCTGTTGACCGGTAAATTAGAAAGTGTACTAATTGTGCCGACGTAGTAATAATAAGGGTTTTTCCCAGTATCGATCTTTGAGGACTGTGTGTAAATTTTAGGTACATATGTTATTTCAATCAAACAAAATAACCTTGGGGTTTTAAACAGGAAAATAGCAGAAAGGTAAAATTATATTACGATTAAAAGAAAACATGCTAGGGGAAGTGTATGAATTGCTTAGAATGAACCCTGGAGTAAATCAATGAAATATGTCACAAAACCTTAATTTTTATTGCACCTCAAAAGTATTTTTCTTAAATTCCTTAACTGAAAAACCTTTGATATTCTTCATTGACCCTAATTCCTTAGCGGTCAGGGAAAGACATCAAGCAATAGTTATGTCAAAGGCTTTTTACAATCATTATAGAGATATCTCTATTCCTATGCAATATTTATTGTAATGTGTTATACAAAACAAACGATCGGTTTTTCAGACCAAATCCCTAATCATAAATCGTTCCCAATTTATACGATCTTAAAAAGTTAAACAATTTGCATAACAAAAATATTAAGGAATGAAACAAATTCTCATTAAGAAGTGCAACAGGTCTTCATTACAACACAATTCAAGG